GAATTCCCAGCTGACCTGATTGGAACCCTGATCTGCATCACCAAGCATAAGGGTTGTTACATGTTCATGCAACATGCCAAGCCCAGGGCTGGGTGACCTGAGGTGGACCAGCATGAAAACCAGGTTCAAACCTCCTCCAAAGAGTCAGATCGTTGGCATGGTGTTCTGACAGACTAAGACAGAGGGTAGGGTAGCTCTTAAAATAACTCCAGCAGGAAGTTTTCTGTATCTTGAAACCCCCAAACTCCCTCCCCAAATTCCAAAAAATACAGGAAATCCTGGTCTCACTAGAATCTGAGTCTGTCCAACGTAATGGTGTCAGAACTAGCCAACTAGCTGGATTGCGTGAAGCTTGTACCTAGCTGAAAGTTCATTGTGGTGTGCAAACCCAGCATATTGGATTAATTGAGCAAAGTGAGGTTCAATTAACCATGAGTAATATGCTGTGTGAACCTAGATGGGGGTGAGATATTTGCATCATAGGCCTACCCACTATGATCTACACCCTCCTCGGCAAGGTAAGTGCCCCACAGCCACAAAAGACTGTCCACCCCAGGTAAAGCCCTGATTTCTTTAAAGGTGAATTATTAAATAAAGTGGGCTTACATAGCAATAAGTGTAAAACAATGAGTGGGGTTTGATTGTGGTCATAACTGTCATCTTGCTCCCCTTCCCCTTGCAGACACCCTCCCAGTCTCTCTATCACCACCCTCTTCTCCTTCATTTTCTTTCACGGTTTAATGAAGAGTTCCCATAGCTAGCCCTGCTGAACGTTGCAAGCTCTGAACTGGGAACGCAATTCCCATATTCCACTAAAGGAGAAAGCAGATGTCTGAGCAACAACCTTATTGTTGCTGCTATTGTTATATATATTCTCTTCTGAAGGACGCTCAGCAAATGCTGGTCATTTAGGGTTAAGTCTAGCTTTATCTCTAAATCTAAGAATTGTCCAAATACTTCTACTCCTACTTACTACTAGTAGTAAGTTACTAATCATAGTAGTAGTAATAGAGCAATTCAAGGTGCTCTTTATTAATTACCTATAAACCCCTCCATGGCTTTGGGCTGGATTATTTGAGGGACCACCTAGGTTTGGGCAGAGTTGGTGCACTTCAAGTCCCTTCAATCAAGCAATGCCATCTGTCAGACCCTGAAAGTGCACCTTCTCTGTTGCA